TTTCCCAACAGGAGTTTCTGAAGACCTCACATGGTACTTCTGGTATAGAGACAAAATGGGAGCCTTCTCAAATTCTTCTGTACAAGTAAGACAAAGCTGGTTCGCATGGAAATGTGTACCTGTTCCCCACTACTCTCAGACTTCTAATCAGAACACTTAACATGCAGGCCTCGTATGTGGCTAAGCCTCACAGCCACGTTTCTTGGAGCATCTTCCATAGATGGGAGGCCACAAGCCTTGGTAACCTGTACATGATCTCATTTGAGGTCACGGCTAAGGACTGGTCATCACAGTGCCATCGCCACACACTGCCATCGTCAGAGACGACTTACGGAAGTACTTCAGGGTCTCTTCAATTTGCTCGGTCGTGAGGTCAATGTTGGCATCTGGAGAAAGGAGGGGTGTGTGGAGCCAGTCGTCGTGGTCATAACCGTAGATGGTGTCGGCTCTTAACTTATAATGGGGCAGCTGCTCCTCCAGCAGGCTGATGATCTCGACTTCCGGAAGATCAGTGCTGTTGCACACGTCTAGAGAAAAGAAGACGGAGAAATAAGACCTCAGATCTGCTTATGTCTTTGCTGCTGCTAGTGAGGGACCCTGTGCCCACAGCAGGTGTCTTCATGTATTTACCTCCAGCATGTTGAGACCAGATGAGGCCATATCCAGGCTCTTTTTCCCATCTAAATCCTATTCTATTCTACTCTGCATGCTTGCTGCCAAGACCTACCTGAAATAGTTCTTGCTGTTTCAGCTGTCCGCTTCCTGGGAAGTGACACCAAAGTTCCTCTACTTTCACCATCTGGGCTAAGTCTTTCTTTCCAAACCTTTCTCTGGCCATTCTCTCTCAATCATCCTACACTTAAGCCAAACCAATTATAATTTCATCAATATGCCTAATTTCTTTTTGCCACCCTTTTACCACTCAAGCTGTCCCTTCCATGTAGGATTTTGCTTTAATTTATTCATTCATCTGTTTATCCACCTATAATTCCATCCATCCAACCATCCATCCATCCATCCATCCATCCATCCATCCAAATATATCCTGAGTATCAGAGACACAGGTGATGCAATGGTAAACACAACAGCCCTGGTCCTGCTTTTGCAAAGCTTGTGTTCTCATGGGGCTTCCAACCATTACACCAGCAGATGCCCCGCCATCGAGGCACAGCTTAATACCGCGTCTCCTCTGACATACTGGTGTTTAATTCTGCTCCGAGCAGAATTAATATGTCTTTCCGCCTCTATACGGTCTGCCCTCTGTATCCACAGGTTCTGCATCCACGAATTCAACCAACCATGGATCAAAAATATTTGGAAAAAAAAGTTACAGTACGGCTGACATGTATTGTGCAGTTAGGCCTACGCTGGCTGCATCTGTACAGAACTAGTACAGATGTTTTTTCTTTGTTATTATATCCTAAACAATACAGGATAACAACAATATCCACAGTATTAGGTATTCTAAGTAGTCTAGAGATGACTTGAAGCATACAGGAGGATGCGTGCAGCTTATATACAATTTACTGTGCTATCTTATATGAGGTACTTGAGCGTCTGCGAATTTTGGTATCTGAGGTGGTCCTAGGACCAAACTCCCTCGGATACCAAAGGGTGACCGCCTTCCCATAGCATGTTGTCAGGACTTCCATCACGGCCGTTACTCAGTTCTGTCTTCTAGATATTTTAGCATCTGACTCATCTCCCCTGGGAGATGGCAAACACCTCACATTCGTCACTTCGTCACACTCGACATCTCGCATCATCACGTTCCATACACGGTTGTCTTCAAATCCACCACCGAACCCTTCGCGTTCCTGGCCCGGACCGTGCTTAGGGCCTGTGCGACGACGCTGTGGCAGTGATCTGATCCATATGAAGCACACGAAAGCCAGCAGGCCCTTTAGTTAAATTGCAAACAGGGCAGCAGGGCAAAAGTACCCAGGACAAGAACTGGACTCACACGACTTGTCCACCCCCATGAAGAACGAAAGAATATCAGAGGGGAGCGGGGAGGGGAGAGGGAGAAGCGGGAAGGTAGAAGGGGTAAAGGGGGTCAAATATGTGGTGACAGAAAGAAATCTAACTATGGGAGGTGGACACACAGTGTAAATATATACATATGTCTTACTGTTAAACCGTACGGCTGAAAATTACCGGATCTCATTAACCAATATCACTATAAAAAAATAAATAAAATATAAATAAATATAATTTTTCACTATAAAAAATCTGTACATGTTGTGTTAGATTTAGTTTTGGCAACACAGAAAAACCCAGGCGCCAAGGTGCACAGGGCTGGACAAGAGAGAAGAGTTAACTGGGTGTTTTGTCCCAGCAACGAGCCTTGGAGGAGAAAAACCATTCAAAAGCTAAGAATATAAGGGGGGCGGGGGCGGGGGCGGGGTGGTCAATTCTTAAGAAGGTTGTTGCACCACATTCCTGCCTGGAAGCAGGAAACGAAGGTGGAGGATCAAGGAAGAGGACAGAGCTTGTGATTCAGTCCCCAGTCCCTCTCCAAAGTTGTAAGAAAGGGCGGAGAAAAAAAAAAAACACTCTCAAGGTAAATAAAACCCAACGGCAAGGGGAAATACAGAGCAGGTGCTGGCAAGAGATCAAAATTATGGGTGTTTCTAAAAGTTCGTATCAAATTAAAGGAGAAAGGTCCAGCCCTAAGCACACACCAAGGAGATGAGGGGGTGCAAAGGCCGCGTAAGTCTCAGGGTGCTCCAGGCTAGGGGGCAGCTGACGCAGAGCAGTGAGGGCCTACGTTGGGGACTGGTGAAGGACGAAAGTGGGCACAGCAGGGTGGATCGGTCCCTTTGCTCCCCTCTCTCCTCGAACCCAGGCAAAGAAGGCAGCAGGGCCCCTACATGGAGGCAGAATGTGGAAACACCTGTGCCCAGAAGAACAGCTATATCCAAACTGACCCAAATCCCTCAGTTCGATAAGACCACACGGCAGGCAAAAAATAGATGCCATCACAGGTAAAGAGGACGTTCAGTGACCCTTAGGGCGGGACCCCAGCGAAGGCCCCCGTAGCTGCCCCTCCTGCCTCCGACGCCCCACCCGCTACTACCCCTTCTCGCTCAATTCAACATGCAAAGCGTCCTAGACAGGATTCTGGGAGTCAGCTTGTTTTTTCAGGTGCTAAGGAAAGAGTCTAAGTAGCAAGTGAAGACCTTGGGAATTTAACTCTAAAGTAGAAGTTGGCATCTCAGCCAACTGAAAACCACACCAGTGCCCCTCTGCCACTCTGCAAAGGTCTGTCGGGAACAGAAGTTATGTCCTCCCCCCTGCCAGAGTCAACAGCCCAGCTCAAGACAGAAGACACCTACTTCTTCTGCTTTCCCAATAACAACAAAACACCACTCGAAAGGTTCAAGATGGGCCCACAACTAAGCAAATACTTCTTCCTCTCACAATCGAGTGAAAGGAAGTTCTCACAAAGCTCTCGGTTAGAGGCCTCACAGCTAGAAAATGGCTGCCACCTGACGGAGGGGACACAGGGTCAAGGAGGGCTGATGCCAGCCGGCAGCACCACTCGGCTAAACACAGATGTGCTCCCCAGCGGGCAGGGCCAGCTGTCCCAGGGGAACAGGCAGGGGCCCAACACATTCCTACATGACATACCCACATAGCAGGCTGAAATCTTCTGGTGTCACTGCTGTTTGG